CCCTACTCCACCTTCCAGCTCCCCACCCTGCACCCCAGCACCCTCCCATGCCCTGCCCTGCCCCACCCTTCGCACTCTGACCTGTGCCTTGGGGACAGTCGAGACACTCGGGCACCAGGGCCAGCCTGGCCCTAGTGGGTGAGGAAATGTGGGTGCTGCAGTGTGGTGTGGACGCCCTGCCAGGGGCAGCCCCCCAGGCCCAGCCCCAGGTGCAGCCCCCGGGCACCTGGTCACAGTCCAGCCCACGCAGTGCTGGGCCCAGGTTCTGCACCTGGACATGGGACACTCCCAGCCACACGGCTCAGCCCCTCTCTGCCCCCCGGCAGGAGCAGGAGCAGGAGCGCCCAGGATCCAGCGCGCTGGAGCTCCTCAGGAATCACATCTCGGGTATCTTCCGCCCCAAGTACTCGGTGAGTGCCCCTGCACCCCCCCCCCCCCCCCCCCCGCCCCCCCACTGCCTCCCGTTCCCCATCCCCTCCCCTCCCCTGCCCCACTATCACCCATCCCCCTCCTCTCCCCTGCCCCACTGCCCTGCCCCCACCTTACCTCTCCCCTTCCCTCCACCACTCCACTACCTTCTCCCTCCCCTCCCCACCCCACTGCCCTGCCCCCGCCTCACCCCTCTCCTGCCCCTCCCCATTTCCTCTCTGCCCTCTCCTCCCCCATGCCACCTCCCCTCCTCACCTGAGCCCCGCAGTCTGTGTGGAGAAGGGGGCCCGGGTGTCCCTGCTGCACGCTCTGGGCAGCCCCCTGTGGGTGCTGACGGGGTCCCCTGCCCAGCCCGCTTACCCCGTCTCTGTCTCCCAGGTGCCGCCCCCCCTGCCGCTCCTCCCCGAAGTGCAGAAGCCCCTGTGCCAGCAGGCCTGGTACCACGGCGCCATCCCCCGGGCGGAGGTGCAGGAGCTGCTGCTCCACAGCGGGGACTTCCTGGTGCGGGAGAGCCAGGGGAAGCAGGAGCACGTGCTGAGCGTGCTGTGGGACGGGCAGCCCCGGCACTTCATCATCCAGGCCTGCGACGTGAGTGGGGCCGGGCACGGGGAGGGCGCTGACCTGGGCAGCGCAGACGGCTCTGCGGGCAGCTCCGGGACCATCCTGCAGCAGCCCTGCCCGCCCAGCCAGGACATATCTCCCTGGCCTGCTGGGTAGAGCCTGGGCAGGGCTCCAGGGGGCGTGCCCATGGGCGGGGGGGTGCTGGAGGACCTGTGAAGCAAGGCGGGGGGGGGGTTTCCTGCCACTCCCTGCGCCCCGTTGGGCTCTCTTCCCAGCCACTCACAAACGCGCCCCCGGGCTGGGCATCCCCGGCACCAGCAGCCAGAGAGACGGTCCCATGGCTCCCAAGGCCAGGCCCCCGGCAGGCGCTGGTGCTGCCCTGCAAGCTGGGGTTGTGCCTGGAATGGGGGGGATAGGGGGTGTGCGTGGGGGTGGAGGGGTGTATGGGGGGAGGCTAGGGGGTGTATACAGGATGGGGTGGGGGGGTGTGAGCAGGGCTGGGAGGGCAGGGCAGGGGCAGCGTGAGATCCCAGTGCCTCCACCTCTCCCAGGACATGTTCCGGCTGGAGGGCGAGGGCTTCCGCACCATCCCGCTGCTCATCGACCATTTCCTGCACACCCGGCAGCCCATCACCAAGAAGAGCGGAATCGTCCTGGCCAAGCCCATCCCCAAGGTACCACACTGGCCCCACTGCACAGCTCCCCGG